AAAAAAAAGCAAAAAAAAAAAAAAAGAAATGGTATCTTTCTGTGTTGCCCAGGCTGGTCTTGAACTCCTAGGCTCGGGCAGTTCTCCTGTCTTGGCCTCCCAAAGTATTGGGATTATAGATGTGAGCTACCACACCTGGCCTGAGTCACTTCATATTAAATAGTATAGTGTTGGAACCATTGTTTTATTGTAATGATATTTGGCTTACAATGGAATTTTGAATTTTGAACATTCAGGAACTTATGACCAAAAAAAAAAAATTTGTATCTTATATTTTTCTAACTTGTGGAAACGTGAAACAGTCACTAACTTGCATTGCAGGTTCATTGATACATGTTGTGCAATGACAGCTTCCACCTGGTGTTTTTATTTTATTTATTTTTTTGAGTTGGAGTCTCACTCTGTTGCCCAGACTGGAGTGCAGTGGCCGCTCCCAGCCACCGCAGCCTCGACCTGCTGGGCTCCCGCGATCCTTCTGCCTCAGCCTTCCAAGTAACTGGAACTACAGGCGCGCGCTATCACGCCCAGCTAATTTTTTGACTTATTGTAGAGATGAGGTCTCGCCAAGTTGCCCGGGCAGGTCACAAACCCGCGGACTCAGGCAATCCACTCACCTCAGCCTCCCAAAGTGCGGGATTACAGGCTGAGCCACTGAGTCTGGCTCACCTGGTGTTTTTCTATTTGAGCAGACAATGCAGTCTTGTTTTCTTCCTTCCGCATTAATAACATGTACTATATTGTCCAGTCTGTTTTTTGAAGAAGATGTGGAAGGACACACTTGTGGTTCCTAAAAACCACTTCTCAACTAATTGATCATATCTCAGTGTATATTTCATCTCTTTATTTGCTTTTTTGGCAATTTTAATGGAAGACTTCAAGGAAACATACATTTTAAAAAATTAGCGCTGTCGTAATTTTATTCAGCAGTCTCTTTATGTTACCTGAGAGGGGACAGCTGAGTGGTTTGCTAGATTTATGATGTTCCCTCACGGGACATCTGAGTGCAGAGGATTAAAATGCATTATTTGAGGCAGGGGAGAAATTGGAGGGGTTAGATTCAGTTCTGAGATTGCTTATACTTTCTTTTTTTTTTGAGTCAGAGTCTCACTCTGTTACCCAGGCTGGAGTGCAGTGGCATGCTCATGGCCACCCCAGCATCTACCTACTGGGCTCCAGGGATCCTTCTGCCTCAGCTTTCCAGGTAGCCGGAACTACAGGCTCATGCTACCATGCCCAGCTAATTTTTTCATTTATTGTAGAGGTGAATTCTCACCAATCTGCCCAGGCTGGTCTCGAGCCCCTGGGCTCAGGCAATCCTCTCGCCTTGACCCCTGCAAAGTGCTGGAATTACAGGCTTGAGCCACCGGCTTTCTAATTCTTTTTTTTTTTTGAGTTGGACTCTCACTCTGTCATCCAGACTGGAGTGCAGCCTCGACCTGCTGGGCTCCGGCGATCCTTCCACCTCAGCCTTCCAAGTAGCTGGAACTACAGGCGTGAGCTACCACGCCCAGCTAATTTTTTAAAATTTTATTGTAGAGATGAGATCTCACCAAGTTGCCCAGGCGGGTCTCAAACCTGCGGGCTCAGGCGGTCCCCTCACCTCAGCCTCCTAAAGTGCTGGGATTACAGGCTGAGCCACTGAACCCGGCTTCTAATTCTTAATATAATGCAAAACGACCTTCAGAAAGGTTATGGCTGGAAAGTTTGTACCTCATGACAGGTTATTTTGACTTTGATTTAGTTCTCCAGTGACCCAGCTCTGGAGTTCCAGGAACCTGCAGGCCCTTGGCTCTCTCCTGTCTGCTGTGTGTCACTGAGGTGTTTGCAATTCCCTGACCCCACCAGGCACAGCTTCTGTCTCAAGGCCTTTGCTCATGCAGTTTCTGCTGAAGGGAATGTTCCCCTGACAACTCCTCACCCTGCTTTCCCTTCTCCTTGATTGTACCTTCTTCTTCAGGGGATCTTTCTGACCACCCCTCCAGGGACGTGCCCATCACTTAGATATATGGAGTTAAATGAAAACAATAGTTACGTTAACATCACCTGTTTCTGCCTTTTTTTTTTTTGAGTCTGGTTCTCACTCTGTTGTCCAGGCTGGATTGCAGTGGCATGGTCATGGCTCACTGCAACCTTAACCTCCTGGGCTCAGGTGATCCTTCCACCTCAGCCTCTAGAGTAGCTGGGACTACAGGTGCATGCCACCACACTCAGCTAATATTTTTTTACTTTTTGTAGAGACAAAGATTTCACTATTTTGCCTAGGCTGTCTTGAACTCCTGGGCTCAAGCAGTCCTCCTGCCTCGGCCTCCTGAAGTGCTGGGATTACAGGTGTGAGCCACTGTACCGGCCTCTGTTTACCTTTTAACATGGTGGTGAGCAAGTTTGAAATGACACTCGTGGCTTCCATTTGTGTCTGGAGCTGTCTGTCTAGATGGCACTTTCTGTGCTCTCTGCTGATGTTTAAATATCTGTGTCCTTCTGCCTGTTCCTTCCAGTGTCCTCATGGCTTTTTGGTTGGATTTGTTTCTTGCTGTTTCCAGTCAACACAGTGCCTGGCATGGAGTAGGCACTCAGTAGGTATTTCAGTGACTGGACAAATAAGTCATAATTTGTTTTTTACAATTTTGTTCTAAACTTGTGGAAATGATGGTTTCTGTCCTTTCCTGTTGAGGACTATGAGGCCACATGTGCTCTCAGTAATGAGCGTGCTGTCCTGTGTCTGTCCTGGGGTGTGGGTTGGTGTTTCTTCCTTTTAGGGGACTTGAGATAAGAAAGCATCCCTGGGTGGAGGACTATGAGGCCACATGTGCTCTCAGTAATGAGCGTGCTGTCCCATGTCTGTCCTGGGGCGTGGGTTGGTGTTTCTTCCTTTTAGGGGACTTGAGATAAGAAAGCAGTCCTGGGTGGGGCCTGGCTGTGGGCATGCCCAGGTCAGGTGATATACAAGGTAGTGGAGGCCATGACTGGTGGAGGTGAAGTAAGCCACATGGGTCACCCTGTCGTAGGGGTCCCCAGGGAGCCCATGCATTAGGGATCGCTCCAAGTCACTGTGTTAGAGTGAGAAGAAAAATGGGACTTGTGACCCTCACAGGTGCTTGAGGCAGGACAAGTTCCTGGAGAGCTGGGCTGCTAGGATCACTCTTTTTATTTTTTGAGTTGGAGTCTCACTCTGTCACCCAGACTGGAGTGCAGTACAGGGCCACTGCAGTCTCGACCTGGGCTCAGGTGATCCTTCCACCTCAGCCTTCAAGTAGCTGGAACCACAGGCACGCGCCACCACACCAGCTAATTTTTTTTTTTTTTGAGTTGGAGTCTCACTCTGTCGCCCAGACTGGAGTGCAGTGGCCGCTCCCGGCCATCGCAGCCCCGACCTGTTGGGCTCTGGCAATCCTTCCGCCTCAACCTTCCAAGTAGCTGGAACTACAGGTGCGTGCTACCACACCTGGCTAATTTTTTTTTTTGGTTTATTGTAGAGATGAAGTCTCACCAAGTTGCCCAAGTGGGTCTCGAACCCGCGGGCTCAGGCAGTTCACTCACCTTAGCCTCCCAAGGCACGGGATTACAGGCTGAGCCACCAAGCCCAGCTACACCCAGCTAATTTTTTGATTTATTGTGGAGATGAGGTCTTGCCAAGTTGCCCAGACTGGTCTCATACCCCTGAGCTCAGGCAGTGCTCTCACCTCTGCCTCCCACAGTGCTGGGATTACAGGTGGAGCCACTGCACCTGGCTTGGGTCATTCTTGATGACTGTTTTGATGGGGAGTGGTTGTGACTTTGTGTCCTGTGCTGTTGTTGACTGACTGAGTTGAGCTCAGCAGAGACAGGTCTCTGACTGAGTCACTCAGTTTTCGTTAGGGGACCATCACGATTCTAATCTGCCTGTGGTCTTGGCTGCCCTCCCACACTGCTCTGTCTTCTGAGTCTCCCTTGAGGTTCCTCTGTTGCCAACTTTTGTTGTGGGTGCCTTGGGTCAAGATAGTGCTTGGGAGCCCGTGGAGCTGCCCCAAGCAAAACTGCTGCAGGGGGCACAGATACGTGGCTCTCTCGGCTGGTGTGGCTTAGAAGTTGCCATGCTGGTGGGGACCCAGGCCCTACTCACCTTGCCCCAGGGCAGGGGCTGTCACCCAGTTAAAGGTGTTTGTTAGGGCACATCTCGGTGGAACTTCCAAAAATGTTAGAGTCTTATTCCCAGTGGGGCCTCCAGAATGTTAAGTCAGGTTTGCTGGGGGTGTGGGGTGTCTGGTGTGATTCAGGGCTGCATGTAAGATGCAAAGAATTGCACAGAAGTTAGTTTGGAAAATATAGTTTATTTAGAAAGTAAATTAGAGAGAAAGAGGAGATTCACTCCCCAAGGTAGGGGAGGGGGGCAAAGCTTAATAAAACATGGGCTGGCCATAGCTCAAAGAGCACATGGCCACACCATAGCTTAGCAAGGCAATGCCAAAATGGGTGCTCATGATTGAGTCCTTTTAACCATTCCCCTTGGATGGGGGAAAGTCATTAAGGTGATTGGGTGATGATGTGCTCCACGTCATCACAACGGGGCAGGTAAGCACAGGTACTGATGTCAGGTGATAAGCAGCAGGCAGATGGGTGGGTTAGTCACTTGATTGCTGCCATGGTGGTGGGTTAGATGGGAGACAAGTAGAGGGGTTTTTCCTGCAAGAGTCTTGTCAGATGTTTCCAATCCACAATCTTCTTTAGTTAAAAAGGTGGTCTTATTTATCATTTCTATGGCTTCAGCCCGTCAAGGAGTGATCTTTGATCTTCTGCCTTGACAAGGAACCTGAAGGTTTACTTGAGATTATTATGCTAAACCATAAATCAAAAGGTTGGGCTGTTGGGCTGTCCTGGTCTTGCATCTGATAGAGATTTATGGAGGGATGGGGTAGGCTGCCGCTTGGCCTGCAGTAAAATGTAATTTTAAAATGTCTGAACGCTTCCTAAAACCTGCCTATTAGAAATTTATCTTGTCTGTGTCTAACCTTTGCTAGATTCAAAGCATGTCGGGTAAAGTCTTAGTAAAAATGGCTATGCTGAGGCAAAAAGACTACACTAAATTAAATTTATTCTAGGTTTCTGCAGGTACTTCCTTTCAATGTTACTCTTTCCCATGCTGGCCGGATTTGTTGGAGGTGGTGGGGGGGTTGAGGCAGAGTCTTCTCTTCCTGTGAGGAAGAGCCAGCCTGTGGCGCCGTGGTGGCTGAGGCTGCTCTACCTGATGTAGGTTTGTGAGCTGCATCTTTGTGGTTCCCAGTCATCCTGAGCTGCTCCTGTCCTCCTCTGGGGTAAGTGTTCTGCTCAGTGCTCGCTCACCTCTGGGTTCCATCCCATGGCTAGCACCTGCAGGTGGGTGGGAAGGGCCCTGGCGGGAGTGGGGATACAGAACCAGTCTTTTGTTCCTAGCCACGTGTCCCGTCATCAGCAGCTATCCCCTAGATGGCTCATGGATTCCGAATCCTAGCATTGCTTGTGGCTCCCTGCCTGCTTACAGCCATTCATTCAGAGCTGTGTATGTGTGTAGGGGGGTGTGTTCACATGTGTGGGGAACTGGAGTGTGTGTGGAAGGCTCTGCTCTAAGGGCTGCTGTTCCATCTACAGACGCATCAGGATCTCAGTTACAAAATGTTGACAGAGGCCTCTGACTCTTGGGGGTTCTGGGGTTCTAATCATATTAGCCCCATGGCTCGTTCTTGCAGCCTGTCTGGAGGGTGGACAATTCTGCATTAGGGGTTGAGGCACCTGGCCACATGCACTTGAAAAAAATTTTTCGAGGCTGGGCTCGGTGGCTCAGCCTGTACTCCCGGCACTTTGAGAGGCCAAGGCGAGAGGATTGCCTGAGCCCGCAGGTTCAAGACCCATTCGGGAAACTTGGCAAGACCTCGTCTCTATAATAAATAAAAAATTAGCCAGGTGTGGTAGTGTACGCCTATAGTTCTGGCTACTTGGAAGGCTGAGATGGAAGGATCGCAGGAGCCTATCAGGTTGAGGCCGGGAGCATGCCGCTGCCCCCCAGCCTGGGTGACAGAGTGAGACTCCCAACTCAAAAAAAAAAAAATTCTTTTTTTTTTTTGAGACAGGGTCTTGGTATCATTTCCCAGTCTGACCTTGAACTCCTGGGCTCAAGTGTTCCTCCTGCCTTAGCCTCCTGAGTAGTCTGGGTCTTACTCTGTTGCCCAGGCTAGAGTTCAGTGGCACTTTCATGGCCACTGCATCTTCAACCTCTTGGCTTTCGGTGATCCTTCTGCCTTAGCCTCCCAAGTAGCTGGTACCACCATGCCTGGCTAATTTTTTGCCTTTTTTTTTTTTTTTTTGAGTTGGAGTCTCACTCTGTTGCCCAGGCTGGAGGGCAGTGGCATGCTCCCAGCCACTGCAACCTTGACTGACTGGGCTCAGGTGTTACTTCTGTCTCAGCCTTTCAAGTAGCTGGAACAACAGGCACGCACCACCATGCCCAGCTCATTTTTTGATTTATTGTAGAGATGAGGTTTTCCCAAATCGCCCAGGCTAGTCTTGAACTCCTGGGCTCAAGCAATCCTCCCACCTCTTCCTCCCTAAGTGCTGAAATTACAGGTGTGAACTGCCAATCCTGGCTTCCCCTTTCTCATTTATGATTGTTTTTAGAGCATTGAGTCTCTTGGTTTCATGTGTTGGTTCCTGAAGTGTCAACATTCGATGGCAGCTGATGAGCTTGTCCTTTCCATGGTTCTTAAACAATGAAGTGGGACAGTGGTCACAAGTCCATGTCTTCCCATGGAAATACATGATTGAAGTGTCTGCATGCGTGTGTGTGCATGCCTGGCCCGAGCAAGGCAGGCATGTTCTTTGACCGTTTAGCATATGACAATCTGGTTGTCATGTGTCCTTGGCCTATTTTTTTTTTTTGAGTTGGAGTCTCACTCTGTTGCCCATACTGGAGTGCAGTGGCCGCTTCCGGCCACCGCAGCCTCGACCTGCTGGGCTCCCGTGATCCTTCCGCCTTAGCCTTCCAAGTAGCCAGAATTACAGGCATGCACTACCACGCCCAGCTGATTTTTTGATTTCTTGTAGAGATGAGGTCTCGCTGCCCAGGCCAGTCTTGAACCCGCGGGCTCAGGCAATCCACTCACCTCGGCCTCCCAAAGGCGTGGGATTACAGGCTGAGCCACCGAGCCCGGCGTCCTTGGCCTATTTTCCTGTTGGGGGTCATCTGTTTTTCTTGATGGTTTGTGTGAACTTATCACAGTAATTTAGTGTGAGGAGCCTTTAATTCATAAGGACCAAGTGAACCCTGACCCCACCTGGCCATCCTTTTGTCACCTGGCTGGCAGAAGCCTGGTGACCCCATGCACTGACCTATCTGTTTGGTATATGCAGGACTGCACCCTGAGGCTCTGGGAGTATAGGAGAGGCTGTCAACTGCAGTGCTGTCACCTGGCCAGTCTACGAGAGTCACCGGAGCCCCAGGGCCACCAGGTAGCCACTTGCATTCCCGGGGCAGATGGGTATGTGTGGGCCCCCCACCAGTTGCTTGGCTTGACGGGGAAGTTGCTTAGCCCAGAAACGTTTCTTAGCTCTCGATGCCAGCTTCTTCAATGTGGAGAGGTCTTGTCTTTCACATTCTGAAGGTTTGTGTGAACTCGTCATGTAAGTGGGAGATAATTTATGTTTGACCTTTGCATCCAAGCAGCTGATTTACAGAAAGACCTGTAGTCCTGCTTTGAAATGATAAAAAATAGTGGTCCTTGGGTGACTTGTCAGCTGGGCAGGAGTGGGGTAGACCGGGGTTACCCAGGGTGGGCCCACCCCAGCGTCCTCTATCCACCTTGGAGTGATCTCATGACACTCTAGAACACCTGGGCATTGGTTAGGGTTCTTGACAGGTTTTTCTGTCTGTTGTGGAGAGCTCCGTGGAGTCCTGGCTTCCCTGGACTGGCTGAGTACCAGCCCTTTCTTCCAAACTACATGACTTGGAGCAGTGGGAGCTTCCAGACCAGTTGTGTCTGGAACTCATAATCTTTTCCATGTCCTCTGTTCCCTTCACTTCTTGTCTTTTGACCCATTTTGCTGGCTTTGGAGGCATCTCACAGGCGTTGGAGGGAGGGCCAGAAGTGCCGAGAGACTTCTGTCATCTGTCTCTGCGTGTTACCTCATTTGAAAAACAGACTTCTGTCACCCTTCTTTTCCCCTGATTTCCAGAACAGTCCAGCACGGTCTCCTCTTTCCCTCCTTGATGATGTGGAACTGAGAGCAGCTTTTGGCTTTGTAAGCAGTTTGATTAGAATGGCCCGGCATCGGGTCCTGACAGGGGCCTTGTGGTCCATCGACTGCTTTTTTTTCAGAGGTTTGCTGCATCCAGGATTGTGTTCTGGTGCCAGGAGAGTTGTGTGGCACTTCTGTGTGACTGGTAAGTGTAGTAGCACCTTGATTGTCTGCTGTTCTGCACACTGCAGGGTGGGGAAAGTTGAGCAGATTTTTTTCACTGGTCATGTCCTTCTTGAAGAGGTCAGGTCATAGATGTTGTCATGGGTGCAGTGCCCCCTCTGAGAATTTCACTTTCTGATGATGCTGTGGCACAAGGGTGGGTTCCTTCCTGAGTCTGTGACTTGCTGTTAAACCCACTGGCTAGAAGGTAACCGTGGCCTCTCCCTGGTCTTTTGTGATGATAGACTATTCCCTGAGGGGTGGTCGTGGTGTAGGGTCTGCCTCTGCCAGTCTTTCCTCTGACTGCTCGTGGTAGACCCAGCTGGGAGTTGGCAGTGCCCATGAGGCGGGTTGAGGGAGTGGGATGCAACTCTGCAGGTTCTTCTTGCACATCTTCCTGCCAGGAGAGGAATCTGGTGCTTTCTGCGCTCTCATCTCATCCCCGTGACCAACCAAGGGAGGTTGTCTCAGCTTGTTTGAGCTAAGGATGCAGGTTGGCGTCCTGTTTGCTGCCTGCAGGTGCGCCAGCATCTCTCTGCCCTTCCCCCTTGTCCTGGCTGGTAACCTGTTGCTGCGCCATGAGTCACCCAGAGCCTACAGACTTATACAGCAAACACATGTTGCTCATGGCTTTCCAGGGTCAAGAACTTGGGAGCACCTCAGCTGGTGCCTGTGGTACAGCTGTCCCTCAGGGTGGCATTAGTGGGCTGCGCTGCCTGGGCCTGAGTGCCAAGGCGCTGTCTTGATGCCCATGTGGCCTGTGGCCTTAATAACCATCCTATCTTTCTCCATGGAAAGCGTCCCTGTGGTCTACATCTTCCAGCTCGATGCCCTCAGTCAGCAATTGGTCTATAAACAGCAGCTGTCATTCCAGCACCGCGTGTGGGACGTGGCCTTTGAGGAGACCCAGGGCCTATGGGTCCTGCAGGACTGCCGGGAAGCCCCCCTGGTGCTCTGTCGGCCCATGGATGGCCAGTGGCAGGTGAGACTCGGTGATTTCCCCATGTCCCAGGCGCTCTGTCCCATAAGCGTGGGATGGGCTGGCAGCCATAGGCTTTTTTTTTTTTTTGAGTTGGAGTCTCACTTTGTCGCCCAGGCTGGAGTGCAGTGGCATGCTCCCGGCCACCGCAGCCTCGACCTGCTAGGCTCCGGCGATCCTTCCACCTCAGCCTTCCAAGTAGCTGGAACTACAGGCATGCGCTACTATGCCCGGCTAATTTTTTGATTTATTGTAGAGATGATGTCTCGCCAAGTTGCCCATGCGGGTTCAGGCAATCCACTCACCTCAGCCTCTCAAAGCGCAGGATTACAGGCTGAGCCACCGAGCCCCTGGCTGTGTTTTTTTTTTAATTGGTGAAAAGGCATATACATTTATTTAAAGTGTATACTGAGAGTAATCACAGAGTGAGTTCCTGGCCATGGTTTTTGGGTCCATCCATGGACCTCTTTCAGCTCGGTCACTTCTGGGTTCTAGGGGCTATGTCCTTAGGGACAGAGCCCGGGACCTTTGGCATTGGGTGAAGGGAGCTGGGTGCTCAGCCAGCTTGTCCCATGTGGTGAGGCCTGTATCAGTTTTTTGGGGGAAGAGTCACCATCACTGGCATATTTTTCCTGAGGCTTCCCATTTCACACTTGTTGTTGCTTGGGTGTGTGGGCTTAGTGTTTACTGGCTCAGTCAGTGTGGATTTGGGCCTGGCATTGGCTGGGCACTTGGAACACATGGAGTCCCCCTGGGTAGAGGAGGGGGTGAGGTCCATGTAATAGCAACTTCCTCTTGGGGGATCTAGGGAACCCTGCATCTCTTGGTGCTGGCCACCCCATAACATGGGAGTGATGCCTCTGCCTGTCCCACATCTCCTGGGCAGGTTGATGAAGTCCTGGTAGTTTTCTGTGAGCTTCCCCGCTGCTCACCAAAGCTCACTTGAGCTGGTGCTTTGGAAATGCACCTAAGTCATCTGAGTCTTTTCATCTCACACGTAGTAACCACATGCTGCCCCCATGGGTGCATGCTGGATCTGTGGGCTCTGTTGGGCCTGTGGGTGCACACAGTCCTGAACTGTGTGTGAAGGGCTTGTCCTTGCGCCATGGGCTCGGCAGGCCAGGGTGCAGGTGCCGACTCCTGGTTTCCATGAAAGATGCACTGGGTTGCCAGGCTGCAGGAGTGGACCTCTGCCTCAGGCCTCTATCAGCCTGCAGTGTGCCCAGCAGTTTTTGCATTGGGTGCTGGACTTTCAGTCTTGTCTCTTTCTGATGACGGTTTCCCACCTGTCCACAGCCTGTTGCTGAAAGTGCCTTGTTAGAGAAAGTCTCTGATGTTCTTCGTGGAAACTGGGCCATGATGGAAGGTGAGAACGTGAGCGCAGGCTGCCCTTCAGGTCACGCCCAACACTGTCCCTAGAAAAAGCATATCACAGACTGTAGCCCACTGTAGGGACCCGGTGGTGCATGTGTTCCCATCCTGAAGGCAGGGAGGGGCAGGAGGGGGTCATGCAGACCAGGGAAGGAACATCATATGGGAGTTAGGATGATGAAAGCCATGTGTGAGCCCTGGGGTCAAGGTCGGAGCAGCATTGTGCCCTCTGCCTTCAGGGCTGGGTGTTGGGAGTCCCCACAGCGGGGCTGACATCCCGTGGCCCCAGAGGGAGCAAGCGCTGTGCTGCCAGTCCCCGACTACTGGTATTGAGGGAATTGTTGAGTTGGTGTCAGCAAGTGCAGTGTCCCCACTGGGAGGATAGGTTCTCGGGCTGCTGGAGGGTCTTCATGGCCCTGAGCAGGTGCAGGGTTGTCATTGTCCTGACAGGAAAGCTGGACCAAGGGAAGAGAGGCAGGGCAGTAGCACATGTCCCTGCAAATTCAGGGAGAAGACAGCGGGCTGTTGAGCGAAGGGTCCTAGCCAGCACAGGCCCAGGTGGTGCCGTTAGAGCAGCAGTCCCCAACCTTTTTGGCATCAGGGACTAGTTTTGTGAAAGACAATTTTTCCACAGACTGGGGTGAGGGGATGGTTTGGGGATGATTCAAGCATATGACGTTTATTGTGCTTTTTATTTCTGTTACTATTACATTGTAATGTTTAATAAAATATATAAAATTATATTTGTATAATAAATATATAATAAATTTTATGTAAATATATAACATAATGTAGAGATATATTTATATGTAATAAATATATATAATGAAATGTAATGAAATATGATGCAATATAATAAAGTTATTGCACATAATTATACAATATAAATAATTATATATACTATTATAAATAATTATACAACTAATATACCACCAGATGCAGCTATGCAGTTGAAGTACATCAACTCACTTGCCACTTACTGATAGGGTTTTTTTTTTTTTTTTTGAGTTGGAGTCTCACTCTGTCACCCAGACTGGAGTGCAGTGGCCGCTCCCAGCCACCGCAGCTTCGACCTGGTAGGCTCCGGTGATCCTTCCGTCTTAGCCTTCCAAGTAGCTGGAACTACAGGCGCGCGCTACCACGCCCAGCTGATTTTTTGATTTATTGTAGAGATGAGGTCTCACCAAGTTGCCCAGTCGGGTCTCGAACCCGTGGGCTCAGGCAATCCACTCACCTCAGCCTCCCAAAGCGTGGGATTACAGGCTGAGCCACTGAGCCCGGCTACTGATAGGGTTTTGATATTAGTCTGCAAACAATTGATTTACTATAGTCTCTTTGCAGTCAAACCTCACTGCTAATGTTCATCTGTATTTGCAGCCACTCCCCAGTGCTGGCATCACCACTTTAGCTCCACCTCAGATCATCAGGCATTAGATTCTCATAAGGAGCGTGCAACCTAGATCCCTCACATGCACAGTTCACAACAGGGTTCTTGCTACTGTGAGAATCTAATGCCAGTGCTGATATGACAGGAGAGGAGCTCAGGCAGTAATGCAAGTGATGAGGAGCGACTGTAAATACAGATGAAGCTTTGCTTGTTTGCCTGCAGATCACCTCCTGCTGTGCGGCCCGGTTCCTAACAGGCCATGAACTAGTACTGGTCCGTGGCGCAGGGGTTAGAGACCCCTGCATTAGAGGATATAGAAGGAATAAACCCCATCCCCCCATCTGACAGGAGACTGCAGACTCTAGTTCTGGATGCTCCATTGCATCCTTATTGGGTGGAGCTTTGAGGCAAAAGAGTCTTCAGGATCATTTAACCCAGTATGGCACCCAGGTGTCCTCATTCAAACAAAGAAATTGTTGCTCTAAGCCAACAGGGCGCGGCTCCCCCCCCCCTCGGGTGGGGTTCCTTAGGGCTTGGAGCTTAGTTCAGACTAGAAGTGTTTCTGCTAGCAGTGAGCTGAACGAATGTCTCCTGCTCAGAGTTTCCTGGAGTGACCAGCTGGCTCTGTCCTGGAGAGTTTGTCTCCATTTTATTTCTGAATGTGTTGAAGGGTGAGCAGTGACGGGCTTAGGTCCCCAGCATGATTTAGCAACACCTTCAGCCATAGTGGATCTGTCCCCACCAATTAGGGCCTCGTTGCTTGTGGCCCAACATGTGCTGTCCTTTGTCCTGTGTCTGATCTGTGGCCAGCACAGTCCTACTGAGGGTCTCTTCACACGAGTCAGACCACTCTGCCTTCCCAAGGTATTCCACAGATAAATTGACCTGGTCACAGTGCAGATGTGGGGGGCCTTGTGGGAAGAGGGCAAAGGGGTAGGCCATGCTGTGGAATTGTGAGTAGTACCGGGAGACCGTGCCTACCTGACGGTTGGTCCCAAAGCTGTGACAGCCGCTGGCCTGCAGGTTCCTAGCTGGCTCTTTGTGGTGTCCTGCCCAAGTGAGGCTGTCTCTGTGACTGTGGCCAATTGTTCCTCAAGCCTGGACATCTGGATCAAGTCTGGTATATTCTCTGTTGCTGCGGAATACATTGACCCATGCTTAATGCCTTAGAATACCACACACTCCTGGCTTACTGTTTTTGTATGTCAGGAGTCTGGATGTGGCCACCTGGGTCCTGCAGTTCAGGCAGGGTCTCCGAAGGCTGCAGTCAAGGCGCTGGCCATCAGTTTCCTCAGGTTCACAGACAGGGCGTGCTCTTGGCTCACTCTCAGTGGTCGGCAGGACTTGAATCCTGAGGCTGGTGGACTGAGGGTCTCACTTCCTTACTGGCTGTTGGCCAGAGGCTGCCGTCCCTAACCTCTGCCATGCTGCTCTCCCCGTAGGGCAGCTCATAGCATGGCCGCAGTGTCCTCAATGTGTGAGCAGGAGTTTGTCATCAGGTTGGAGTCCTGGCCTAGGTGCCCTGGTTCCAGTTATATCCTTTTGTTCTTAACCTGTTCTGTTAGGGATGAGTCCTCAGGGTCATCCGGGTATGGGCACCAGGAGGTGGGTACTGTGGGAGCCATCCTGGAAGGTGCCCTCCACAGTCTATTGATAATTAGTTCACTCCATGGTCTACTCTTAACTCACTGTTGCAAGAAGACCTTGTAGGAGCTCTGAGTGCTGGTCCACCAGGTTCCACTGCTAGAGGCCAAGTCCCACCTGGCATCTGTTCTTGTTCCCGTCACAGGCTCTGCCGGTACGGACACCAGTTTCAGCAGTCTCTATAAGGCTACCTTTGACAACATGACCTCCTACCTGAAGAAGAAAGAGGAGAGACTGCAACAGCAGCTGGAAAGGCGGCGGCGGAGTCCCCCGCCTGGGCCCAATGGGCAGGCCAAGAAGATGCGGCCAGGGGAGGCGGCCTTGAGTTGCTGATCCTGGCGGTTGGTGGTGCCTCTTACAGCCTCAGGGTAGCAGAAGCAGTTTTTTCTTGTTGCCTCCTCCTCTTGCATCTCAGTTAGGTTCAACCAGCTTAACTCAGTGGATGAGACGGTCTCCTGGGCTCTAGAACATTCTGTGCTGCTGAGTACAGGCCTGATGTCTGTGCACCCATTTGGGTGAAGGGGAGCCATGCTGGGTGTAGGCTTAACTGAAGAGATGACAGAAGTCATGGGAATGCCTTGGGGCAGCTTTTCTTCACATTGGAGGTGACATGCTGGCCTGTGGCAGCGGTGACCATTGATTTTTCTGCTGCACTGAATGCCGTTCATGCCCTCCCAGTTATGTCCCATCCATGTGGGACACATCTTCTTTCAGGGAGAGCCAACAGGCAGATGTTTTTGTGATGTTGTTCCTGCTGTTTCAGCCTTCCAGGGCTCACCCTTTAGGGATGTGTTGCTCCATACAGTAGTGTTGCTATGGGGTGCTGATGCAACCCAAGTAGAATGAACTTTTCTGTCCTCCCCCTGCAAACGTGCTCAGGAGCCACTTTTGCCAGCAACCCCTGCACAGGAAGTGCTAAGATGCATCTCTGGGTCCAGGGAGCTGTTGGCAGCACCGGCACAGAAGGTGAACTGGACTTGAAGGGTGAGCACAGGACGCACGAGGACACACCCAAGCTGGAAACCTGGTTTACATGACCATGAGGATGTCATATGTGTTCATTACTTTGCTTTGACCTTCACACACACTGCCAAGCAGTGAGGGTGTCACTGGGTTCTGATCACCTATCAATAAGGGTGAGCTCTTTGCAGGTTTCTGGCAACGTTAGTAACAACATGTGGAGCTAGTCTCAAAATACACTGAGCAGAGAGCACTTGGGTGTGTGTGCCGTTTGTGACAGTGTTCCCTGTCTGATCTGGGAAAGAGGTTTCTGTGGTGGTTAGGCTTTTAGATACACTGGGAAATTTTCTGTTGATCACGTCCAGACACAGGAACAGGTGTGCAAGTTGGTGACAACTTTGTGGGGTTTTGCTGGGGGCTTAGGAACAAAATCCTTTTGTGTATCAAAGCTGGAATGCTTCAAGTTTTTAATAAGCGCCTTGTTTTTCTTTAGACATTGAAAACAGTGCTGCGTGTTTAATGCTCGGGCCACTCTGCTGTGCCAGGCACAGGTGTTCCAGCAGAGGGCTGTGCCAGGCCATTGTCCTGTGTGAGGAAGCTGACCTCTCTCACGCTGTGGGGGCATCTGGCACAGGCACGCTCTCATTTATAATCTGCTTTGAAAGTCTTAATTTTAGAAGAAATTCAGGTTGAGTCTTGTTAGTGTTGTCACGTAAGATGGGTTGACAAACTGGCCCATGAACTGAATCCTATGGTGACCTGGGGATGGTTTTCACATTGTAGAAATGGTTGAAAACAAAATAACATTTCATGACATGAAAATCATGACATTCGGGCTGGACGTGGCTCGTACCTATAATCCCAGCACTTTGGGAGGCTGGGTTGAAAGGATTGCCTGAACCCAGTGATTCCAGACTAACCTGGGCAACTTGGTGAGACTTCGTCTCTACAATAAATAAAAAAATTAGCTGAGTGTGGTGGTAGGCACCTGTGGTTTCAGTTATTTGGAAGGCTAAGGTGGAAGGATCGCCTGAGCCCAGCAGGAGGCTGCACTCCAGTCTGGACAACAGAGTGAGACTCCTGCTCAAAAATAAAAAAGGAAAAAAATCATGACATTCAGATTCCAGTGTCTGTGAGTAAGCATTCATTGGACACAGCCCTACCTGCCTGGGAACGTCTCGGTGTCTGCTTTTTGCTGCCACAACAGCAGAGTGGAGTAGTCAGGCAAAGCCTCAGATATTTATGCTGTGCCCTTCCCAGAAAAACTTGTCAGCACCTAATTCAATATTCCTTCTAAATCCATGTGTCTTATTTTATTTTTATATCTTTAGAGATAAGTTCTCATTCTGTCACCCAGGCTGGAGTGCAGTTGTGCAATCAAGACTCACTGCAAGCCTGGCTCGGTGGCTCAGCCTGAAATCCCACGCCTTTGGGAGGCTGAGGTGAGTGGATTGCCTGAGTCTGCGCGTTCGAGACCCACCTGGGCAACTTGGCGAGACCTCATCTCTACAATAAATCAAAAAATCAGCCAGGCGTGGTAGCGCGCACCTGTAGTTCCTGCTGCTTGGAAGGCGAGACGGAAGTATCGCTGGATCCCAGCAGGTCGAGGCTGTGGTGGCTGGGAGCAGCCACTGCACTCCAGTCTGGGTGACAGAGTGAGACTCCAACTCAAAAAAAAAAAAGACTCACTGCAGCCTTGAACTCCTGGGCTCAAGTGATCCTCCTGCCTCCCGAGTAGCTGAGACTACAGGTGCATGCCTCCATACCCAGCTAATTAAAAAAAAAATTGTTTTTGTAGAGACAGAGTCTTGCTCTGTTACCCAGGCTAGTCTCAAACTTAGCCTCAAGCAATTTTTTCTTGGCCTCCTAAAGTGCTAGGATCATAGATGTGAACCAGTTGCACCTGGCCTTAAATTCATGTATTTTAAACTCGAATTTGTTGATTTCTTTAAAAAAAAAATTCTTCCTGCATCTGCTTTGATCTTTCCCTTTAGACATATGTGTGTGTTTCCTGAGTCTAGGTAGGGTAGATGTCTTGGAGGCACAGACACCAGTCCTGGCTGTCCTAGCCCCTAGCTCAGGCCAGGAAGGTCCCCTGGTGGCTGCATGCCCCAGTGTGGGGGGTATTGTGAGGGTTATCTGAGACGGGCTTTTTGCTTCTGGTTGGGAAACTCAGACACAGCCACACAGGGTGGTGCTAGGTCAGAGACAAGAGTGGAGTGGGAGGGGCCGTGGCCATCTCCTCTCTTTGCAGTGGTTGCTTTTTTTTTCTTTCAGTTGGAGTTTCACTCTGTCACCCAGGCTGTAGTGCAGTGGCATGCTCTTGGCCACCACAGCCTTGACCTGCTGGGCTCAGGCAATCCTTCCAAGTAGCTGGGATCACAGGCGAGTGCCAACATACCTAGCTAATTATTTTGATTTTTTTGTGTAGACAAGGTCTTGCCATGTCGCCCAGGCTGGTCTCGAACCTCTGAGCTGAGGCAATCCTCTTGCCTCTGCCTCCCAAAGTACTGGGATTATAGGCATGAGTCGCTGCGCTTGGCTTCCAGTGGTTGCTTTTAAATTACTTTTTTTTTTTTTTGAGTTGG